CCCCCTCTTTTACCCCGCCGGCCCAGATTGGAGAGACAGCGCCTCTCATTACCTCATCACAACCAAACGCGGGCTCCATTAAATGTCCTGAGGAGAGGCACTGCTGCCGCACCAGATAACTCCTGCTTGCTCCCCTTCCTCCTTTCCACCCCAAGGGCTCAGCACTGCTCCTGCTCAGCAACGCTCAGTAGACAGAGCGGCGAGGCTGGGCTGCTGAGGCCGGGAGGCTGGGTGAAGGGGGCGCACATTCACATTAGCATTGTAGATGCCACCCCGCGCCGAAGGTACCTCGCGGTTGGGAAAGGGAAAGGGGGGGGGGGGGGGGCTCGAAACAACAGTTTGCCTGGTGTTGGATCTACGACTTTCGTCTCCACATCGCGAAAGTGAAAAAAGTGTAACAAATCTTGTTAACGGTAGAAAGAACCTTGTTGTTTAAGAAGTTATACAACCAATTTAAACCGTCTGGCTAATTTGTATGTGAATTGAAAAGGCAAATAAATTACTTTTGAACGGTAATTCTTAGTGTAAATTAAGAGGAGATTTGGTCGCGAGAAAAGATCAAGTCCACGCGTCCTAAGAACAAAGTCTGATCTGTTTGCGCGCCCGTCAACAAAGTCCGATCTTTTCGCACGCCCGTCAACAAAGTCCGATCTGTTTGTGTGACGCTCAACAAAGTCCGATCTGTCTTCAGACGTGCTCGGGAGGCGGACGTTTGGAGCTTTGTGACAATTCTGTTTCTGTATCTTTGCTTAACATTTTCGGTCTCAGCTATTCTTCAATCTCTTAGGATCACATAGCAGTCATTACTTTTTCTATGCTGTCAATATTAGTGAAGATAGAAATAAACTAAACCAGCGATGCAAAACGCGGCCAAAAACAGATCGGACTTTGTTGACGGGCGCGCGAAAAGATCGGACTTTGTTGACGGGCGCGCAAACAGATCAGACTTTGTTAAAGGGCGCGCAAACAGATCAGACTTTGTTCTTAGGACGCGTCGAAGTCCTCGATATTCCAGTCGAAAGCCCAGACACGCAGTAAATTATGCCCGCAAAACTATATTCGTTGCATCGCTGCAAAAAAATTTGCAAGCTCTGCATTGCGAAGAATTATTCGTATTGCAAAGAAATTGTTTGTCATTGTAATCTGACAGAATCGTTGCTAAACTGGGTAGATGTACGCCAGACCACGTCTCGCGTAACAGGCTTCGCGATATCTCACGAAACACTGTTACGCTCCGACGCACCTGGCATACATCTGCATAGGCCTGCGGCGCTTTTAGCAACAAGCTCTATTCTTTGCAAGCATTTTTCAGAGCATCATGTATCGAGATTTTAGTCGCGTAGCTGAGCAATAATGGGGAGAACGTATGAAAGATTTTAAAAATATTCCAGATGATCGTGTAATTAAAGATGTAATGCGCACTGTTTCGCAGTTTTGTTACCCCTCAGGGGGGTACGATACGATAAAAGACGGACCCGACCAGACGCTGTAAGTTGCAGGAGTTTGATGGCCTCCATTTCCTTC